GTATAATTAGCAGCTGCTTTAACTCTTATAAATGGTCCTTTTAATTCAATTAATTAAGGAGTAGAAATATAAGAAAGTTGCCTAAATTCAAATTTAAAATCCAATTACGTGTTGAGACCTAATTGTCCTTATTCGTTCAAACCCATAGTGTATAAGCTTCCATTATTTATTAATAAGCATGAATGTTGAAAACCACAGGCAATTTTGACCACAATAATTTTATATGAACAACATTTCGGATTATTTACATTCTATTTTATATACTCATCCCCTAATCCCAATTAACCATATTAGCAATCTTTTTATATTAAATAAAAATATTACTTCCCCATACATAAAGTTCTACAAATACTTAACTTAATTTTACCTGTCTATTTTCGAATTTGAGACATTTAATTAAAATTATAAATTATTACACAAATAGTTGTATTAAAATAAATACTTGAATATTAATATAATTATTAATCTTTTGTAATTTTATTGAATTATTAAGTTTAATACTTAAATTTTATTTTAATATAATTAATTAAGATTTTATAGATCCTTAAGTATCAATTAAAATTCCTAAATATTTATAAGTTTAAACTATTGGAATAACATCATATTAAATTGAAATATCATCTTCCAAATCTTTAATTTTCATCAAGCCACATTTTGAATAATTAATATTTATTTATTTCAATTCTTAACTAACTTCTTAAATATCATTAATTAATTTTTAAGAATTTATGTTTTATGATAAATGGCATATCATATCATCTGCATATAAATATTTTATTAGATATATTAATAATTTTTTTCATCTACTATTTCTTTATAAATAAATCTGTGTAAATATTGAATAAAAATGGAGATAAAAAACTACCTTATGGTACTCCATTTTAGAATGAATATTTGATATTTTTATGGTGAATAAATTACCAACTCATTTATGCTTGTAAAATTTTTACTTCTTCTTATGTTAAAATTTATTTTTAATTGATATAATTAAATAAACTTTCGAATTTTCTTGTGTTATATACTGATTTAAAATCGATAATAAAATATTACAAATTTAAAGCTTTTTTTGAAGATTGATAAATTTACTAATCGAAATATTTATGGTGCAGTTCAATAGCCTGAAATAAAACCATATTATTCTTTTATGATATTATTTTAGCAAAATTCACTAAGTTTTTTGAAAAATCTTAATTCTAACCATTTGAATAATGGACTTTAAATTATAATTGGTCTGAACTAGTCTTTAAAAGGTATTGAAGGATATATTTTGTTATTAGAATTAATCTTGTTTCACAAAATTATTCGACGATTTAAGTAAAATCATTATTCCAGATATTGCTTAAAAGTTCATAGTTTGCTTTTTTTTAATCCAAGTGTCTGAAATCAAATCATAAGTTAGAGCTTAATTACTACTCATTTTTTACTTCATATAATTGAATTCTTCCTCTAATATTATATTTAATGTTGGTAATTACTGATGTTAATATTCCTTAATAGATTATATTTCACCTAGAATATTAATACAATTGAGTAATATCTGGATTAGTTATCATTTAGTCATTTTACAAAAAAATTCATTATACCTCCATCTCTTTTTTATTCGTGAATAATAATAAATTGCTTAATCATTTTATGTGCTTATTTTGAATCATTAGATCTTAATTTTTTCTCTAATAAATTTAAGAATTCCTTAATTTTATTTTATGAATTAATATTACGTTATTTAAAAAGTTTTTCTTTTACTCTTGAGAAACATTAAAATCGATGATAGTTATTTTTTATTTTATAGTAAAATTCTTAGAAATCTTAACATTATTAAGATATGATATTATTTAGTTATCTATTTTTTATTTATTAGCAATATGTTTTGTTTATTACTTAATCGGGATTTTTTTAACTAAATGTTTGTAATTAATATTGCACGATCAGATAAGTCATTAAATAGGATTGATTTATATATTATAATTTAGTATTATTGTTTATGAATAAATCATCTGTTTTTGTTGTTCTCTAAGTTTAAAGATGATTTCTTTTCAATGTAGGTTCTCCCTGCAGTGTCAGTAAAAACTTGCAATGAAAATTTCGATTTATTGATGTTTCCTTATATAATTATAAAATCATGAGGTTATTATCTGATTAATTTCATTGAAATATCTTAAAGCTTTTAATTAATTTCTTTAAAATATTACTAATAAGGGGAGTATATATTCATTATATAACATTCTAGTTAAGAATAAACTATTTATAATATCATTATCTCTAAATTTTATGATGTTATATCAAATTTATTCGTTATATCCAAGGCTTTAAATTATTTATCAATCCCAATACAAATTCCTTTATAATTTCTTAATCTATTAAAAAAGTTAAAGTTTGGTGATGAGTAAATATTCGTTCTAATTTCTTATAAGCAAATA